AATAGAAGTATACTGGACTCATCAACAATAGAAAAAAAAACACTAATGTGATGAGCCAGAAACAAACTACTCTAAAGTGTGATATTCTTTGGTACTTTCTTTTAGAATCTTTGCCTTAACTACCACTTCTCGTGCTCCCAATATATTATTCCTGAGTTGATACAAGACCTTTAATCTGAATTTTCACCGCATCTTTATGAGATTATTCCTCGGAACTAGATCCACTGGAAGTTTAGAAGAGAAAAAAAAAAACTAGATCACTGGAAGTTTTCACCGTAGCTTTATATGAGAGCCATGTGCTTCTTTTGTCTTTGCTAATACCGTAACAATGTCGTGGAAACGTGCCAGAGACTTATAACGATATTTGGAACATTGATTTCTCTTACCACACTCTTATTCTTGGGTCTTTGGAGATTCTCAACAATTAACAGTCAGCTAAGTAGAAGATTAGACTTCTCGTTCTTTTTTTTTTTGTGATTTTAAGAGTGGAGCACCCACACTCACAACTCTAGAGACCACAAAAATTAGCACTTGAGTAGAGCAACTTCTTGGTGTTTGGCTAGTTCTACAAGCTTAAGAACGAAGATCTTCCGGTACTTGGTTAGAGAATTGAACTTGGGATGATAGCTTTTGGTAGAGAGGAACAGGATGAAAATGCTGCTTGTTTAGCCGTTGAATTGAAGATGGGCCACTAATCTCTTTGTTCGTTGGTATCCAAGATCAATAAGAAAGAGATCAGTGTATATATTTTTTAAAAACACCAAATAAGCTTTGGAGAATCCCAGATCTGTGAAGATGAAGTTATCGTCTTCTTCCTCTTGCCTTTAGAGGTTTGGTATTCTTTGTTCAGATGGAATGAAGCAAAACGTTTTAACCACCCACAACTTATAAACGTTGCTTGTAAATTGTTCCTGAAACAGAGCGGCAGAGCTCCGGACCGGAGAAGACCACCTTTCTCTTTAAGAATTGGAACTTATTTTTTTAAGGAAAACAAACTCTCCTAAGCTTGCAAAAAGGTCTTGCCGGATATGGATTGCGAAAATGGAGAGGATGAAGATATCCCTACAATGGAGAGGATGAAGATAGGGGCGGAAGCTTTCTCAGAAAAAGAGGATTTTGGTGACAAAACCACAGATCTCCGCCAAACTCTACAACTACTAAGAGCGAAAGATGATGGGTAGGAATCAGTGAGTCGGAGGCTTTCCAGATCTGTTGTTTTCAGGTGACAAAGAGCCGGCACGGAGGAGCCGTACACTCGGTCCGTACGTAGCCATTTACATCGCCGGGTTAAAGAGGTTTTTGTTCTGTATTGGCCTTATACAGTTTAATCTAATAAGAATATGTTGTTCAAAAAAAAAAAGTTGTGTGAGATTTATTTTATAGTTACAATCTCATTAATAGAATTGAATTTAAAAATAATATCTTCTTCACAATGAAATTATAATAACTTTTCATAGGACATGTGGTGTCTCATTACGAACATTATTTCTCATTGTCTACCAATTTCTGAATCTGATAATAAGATTCAGCAGACACATTGTCTTCTGGCAAATACTCTTTAAACAAGTCTGCCCATGCATTCATACAATTTTCAGGTAGATTGTGATCGGTTTTAATACTCATCATTCTAGCAGCCAACGACAATTTAGACAGACCTTCTCTAAAACCACTGTAAATTGGTCATTCGCAGCTTCTAACATCTCATAAAACTTTTTTGCATCTAAGTTAGGTTCTTCAAATTCATCATCATCATGAGTTACAAATGCATCACCTACCATATCATGAACCCAATCACAATCTACCATTTGTTCCTCTTGGTGATGATAGCTATTCTCATTACTCAAGTGATCAACCGGTTCAACCTGAAAATTGCTATTACTACTGCTAGCTTCATTCCTACAACTAGCATCGTCTTCTCCATGTTGATACCAAATATAATAATATGGCATGAAACCTCTATTTGTTAAATGCTTCCAAACATTTTCACGATGGCCTAATTTTGTATTGCAGCATTTCCGACAAGGACAGAACATCTTACCAGTTTCATGCGTGAGTGGTGTAGAATTTGCTTGATGCATAAACGTCTTCGACCCTTCGAGAAATTCTTTCGTCACCCTCCCGTTATTATCTCTGTGTGAATACATCCACTTCCGCAACTCGAAAATATTTCCCGGACCAGACGTTATTTTTTTTGATCAAGCTTATAGCTGATTTTTTTTGGTGTGTTTCAAATGAATCACAAATGGTGGTATTTATAAAAAATTTCGAATCTGAGCATTTACTAGGAAATTTCTAGGAAATATAGGTACAAAACACGTTTTTGATTTAAATTTCGATATTTTCTATGCAGTTCCTCGTAATTTCGTAGTAACAAATCCATTCCTCCAAATTTCGTAGTAAGGTTTTACTAGGACTTCACGAGGAATGTTATTACTACGAGTTTACGAGGAAATGGATTTTTGCCACATATTTTCCTCGTAAGGTTACTACGGTCTTACGAGGAAAACTATTTCTCGTACCTGTACGAGGACCTTACGAGGACCTTACGAGGAAACTAGCTTTCCTCGTAAAACCGAAGTAAGTTCGTAGTAACCTTACGAGGAATTATTTTCCTAGTAAAATTTCCTAGTAATTTCTTAGTTTTCTTGTAGTGTCTGTTGCATAGAGCTTGTATTGATTCACCTACTTCAGTTTTACTTTACATTCTTGTAATTGTTTATCTTCAAAATTTACCTAGTTAGAGCTATTTTTTTATTCATTTATTAACTTATTTTGAACATTGAAAGTTGTTAGTGTTTCCAATCTAAAAAATCAATGCTGTAATTAATTAGACACCATAATATAGCATTGGATCAATGAGTCTCAGCAAATACAAATACATTAAACATGAGAAATGTCAAACATATGCAAAGAGCAGACTCAATTATTAGAGATGTCAAACATGTTAAATAACTTATATATATATATATATATATATATATATATATATATATATATATATATATATATATATATATATATATATATATATATGTAATGTAATTTATAAACAAAATCAGTTCTAAATTGATTTTCACAAAAGTCCATACCTTTAATTCATACCAGTTGAAGAAAAATGAACAAGAGAAACCAATTCCAATAACAATCTATGGAAATTATATTCGATCATTGGAGTTTTCACACAAAATAGACAATACCCGTAACATAAATCATACAAGTTGACATCAAACCTTGGATACTTGTTGAAGAAATTGACATACAACAAGATATGGTGAAGAAACATATATTATTGATTGTTGAAAGACTCAAAATTAGACTTCACCAGTGAAATCAATTTTTATTGTCAATAGTTTATCAATGTTAAGAAAAACGTTGACATATTGTGGATAAGATAAATTAAGTGATATAGTTTGATGTTATTTTAAATTAAAATATATGAATGAGTTAAACATCTTCTTATTAAATTTTGCGAGCCTTATTAAATAGATTTTAACTAGATAATCCATATAAATTCCGATTATTAAACATGCTTAAATGAACATTTATTTATATTAGCATTCTATTTAAAATGCGTTAATAAAATTTGTTATGACATTTTTAACTATTTCTAAATAATGTTATTGTGGTTTTCACAAAAAAATAGTCTTGTTGGATAACTATATAATGGATAACTACTTAGTAGGATGGATATCTCGTTTATTTTCAAATGAATGGATTACAGTGATGATAAATGGAATGGGTGAATAAAATACAAAATCTTTATTTTATACATTTCTTTTGTGAAGATAACAGTTTCTGATAAATCATGATATGCGATAGTTGAAAAAAAATTCAGATTCTTTGCGAGATTAAAATAAAAGAAAAAAAATAGAAAGACTCATAAAAAGCCCATAAAGATACTTTTAAACAATTTAAAACCCATAAAAACACAAATGACTTAGAGGAGAGAAAACATCTCTACTGTCCTTATATCTCTTTTGTAAAGCTAAAATTTACTCCTTCTAAAATATATTTTATATTTATTAATTTTTAATCCAAAAACACAAGTTAATTACTTATTTATCCTTTACTTTAATTTATAAGGATCGACTTCTTTTCTATCTCCTATTTTTTTTTTTTGTTTTACGCCTCCTTTTCTTCTTCTTCTCTCTTCTTCCTCTGCTCCTTCTCTCTCCATTCTCTGCTCCTTCTTTTTCCACATTCTACAATTTTAGAACTTTCTTCTTCTTTTCTTCTCTATTCTTCAATCGATTTTTAGTTTATCTTGTCAAAAATAATGAAAAGTATATAGATAACAGATCTGACGGTATCTCTATGTTTGAAGGTGAAACAGCAACAGTTCATTCTAACCAACCGCTGAAGTAAACGAAACATAAACGACGTTGGTAACAAATTTTAAGTTTCTACATCCTCAAATGTAAAATTTTTAGATTTTCTTTGATTTAGGGCTCTTCTTATTTTGGACTTTTGCTGTATTTTTATATTTAATTATATATAATCTTTATTGTATTTAAATCATAGATCTATAATTTTGGTATTTGGTTTGTGTATTTTTTATGACTTTATCTATAGATCTGAAACTTGGAGAACTAAGTATTACTACTAGAACTAAAGTATAACTAGTATAACAAATATAACCGGTACAACTAATATAATCGATATAACCAGTACAACTATTATAACTAGTATAACTAATATAACCATACAATCAGTATAACTACTTGTAAATTGATAAATAAATTTTGGAAAAAAGTGACTTTGAAAAATCAATTTTTTAAATTTTTTTTGAAAATTTCAGATTATCGATTTTAAAAGGAAATGAATTCAAAAATAAATAAGGATAAAATCGGATTTTCATGTTTTCCTTTTAAAAAATGAAGGGTATGAAGATTAGTGAAGGATATGATGGATTTGTTTTTTTTTGTAGAATGGTATATGAGGTGATGACGCGTCAGGGGAAGGGGTTTTCTCTTGAGTCTCCTCTGTCTTGTCAAAGCTCTGTCTTGTCAAAGCTTTGCTGTCCAAAGGAATCATATTCTTCTGCGTCTCACACGACCGAAACGTCACCTTCTTCTTTTTGCCAACAACAATCATGGCGGCAACGACGGTTTGGCAGCCCCGAGACGATGGCCTCGCCGAGATCTTCACTCTTCTCGAACAACAGATTTCTCCTTCCTCCGCTGTTGACAAGTCTCAGATTTGGAAGCAACTTGAGCACTTCTCTCAGTTCCCCGATTTCAATAACTATCTCGTTTTCATCCTCGTCCGCGCTGAGGTTTCTCCCCGTTTTCTCCACTCTCTTTAAGCTTCCCGTCTGTTTTTTGTTCCTTACCGTTTTTACTCAATCTACTTGTCGGGATACGTCTGGTCTTTAGAGTTTGGATCGTTGAATCTGTCTGTGCCCTAGTGGATTGCCTTAGTTTCTTCAGACCAGAACTTTTTAGCTTAGTATGATCTTTGTTGATTCGATTGTTTTTTTTTTTTGTTTTTTTTTCTGTTTCCTACTTGACTGAACTGATTTACTTTCAGATTTAGTCGCATTGTGACTCTGAATACATGGTTCTGAGCTTGATGTGTACTATTTGTATGATGCATCAGGGTAAGTCCCTAGCGATTCGTCAAGCTGCTGGATTGCTACTGAAAAACAATTTGAAGCGGGCATATCCATCTATCGCTCAGGAAAACCAAAGATACTTCAAGTCAGAGTTGCTGCCCTGTCTAGGAGCTGCGGACAGACATATCCGGACAACAGTAGGAACTATCATCAGTGAAATTGTTAATATAGAGGGAGTTTCTGGATGGGTTGAGCTTTTACCAGCTCTTGTAACTTGTTTAGACAGTAATGATCTGAATCACATGGATGGTGCAATGGATGCATTGTCAAAGGTATGTTGCAGCGTCCAGTTTTATTTTCTGTTTCTTTTTGGTCCAAACCTACATTTAGAACCGATGTTAATCCAAGTTCTTCCTATTGGCTGTGTATCGTTGGAATGTTTTTGTTTATGTGTCTCATCGATCAGATTTGTGAGGATATCCCACAAGTATTGGATTCAGAAGTGCCTGGTTTAGCAGAACGCCCTATCAACATTTTTCTGCCTAGGTTTTATCAGGTGAACTATCTCATATTGGTTCACACTTCACAGGTTTCTAAGCACTTGCCAAGTTTTAGTTTGATTTCTTTTATTACTGTTTGTTTGGCTGCTGTATGTTTGAGCAGTTTTTCCAATCGCCCCATGCTTCTCTGAGGAAGCTTGCCCTGGGTTGCGTTAACCAGTATGTCATAATAATGCCTGCTGTAAGTACTGAGAAGACAGTTATAATTTTTTTTTTTGGTTTTATATTGGTATTAAGGACTGTGGATTGTAACAATCTATGTTTTTCAGGCTTTGTACAATTCCATGGATAAGTACCTTCAAGGGTTGTTTGTCCTTGCCAATGATTCTGTAGCAGAAGTCAGAAAATTAGTACGTGACTTAACTATGCTTGTGTAGATTGTTTTTTTTGATGACACATGATTCAGTCAGATTCTTATCTCATTTCAAAGTTCTTTTGCTTATGTATAATTATCTTCTTCTTTCGCTTAAAAGGTCTGCGCAGCATTTGTGCATCTGACGGAAGTTCTCCCCTCGTCAATAGAGGTATTTCTCATTGTACTTCTTATGTTTTGTTCGAGCTATTTGCCCACCCTTCATCTTAGATTTCTCGTCGTCTCCTTTTGTCTATTTCAGCCACATCTCAGGAATGTAATGGAATACATGCTACAAGTTAACAAAGACCCTGATGAAGAAGTGGCTCTTGAAGCATGTGAATTTTGGTAAAATGATCTTCTGTGTTTGCTCTATAGATGATGGTTTTACACCTGTTTTTGTCTTGTGTTCTGCAAATTTATTCTTTTTGGCCTGTTTTTTCTGCATCCTTGTCCTCATTTTATTGTTGTCTGGCAGGTCTGCATACTGCGATGCTCAGCTACCGACAGAGAACCTGAAAGAGTTTCTGCCACGCCTAATTCCAGTATAGTGATGCTTTCTTCTTTTCTTCAGTATATTTTTGGGCACTTAAACATTTACTCAGTGGGTGTAATTTAAAAATCGTAAAATATATCTGTTTTAGGTGTTGCTCTCAAACATGGCTTATGCAGATGACGATGAGTCGCTTTTGGATGCCGAGGTTCCTGTTGATATTATTATATGTTTTTTCACCTTTCTCAGTATATAGTTGTCCATTTTATATCATAAAAAAAACTGTTCACTTTTGCAGGAAGACGAGTCTCAACCCGACAGAGATCAGGTGCAGTTGTTTGTTCTCGCGAGTTTGATTTTTTATTCTTATTAAAATTGATCTTCACTTTTCATTCGTTTTGTTTCTCCGACAGGATTTGAAGCCTCGTTTTCATACATCAAGACTTCATGGATCAGAAGATTTTGATGACGATGTACGTGATCTACTTCTTTTAGTTCCATGTGATATGTTTATAGATGTTGCGTAAGTATGTACTATTAATTTTAATAGATCCCTCTTTAATGACTTATCTCTGGGGTACAGGATGATGACTCGTTTAACGTGTGGAATTTGAGAAAGTGCAGTGCAGCAGCTATTGACGTTCTCTCTAATGTATTTGGAGATGATATCCTTCCAGCACTCATGCCCCTTATTCAGGTAAATGTTATTCCTCTCGGTCATTCGAAATGCATTCAATAAACTAAACCCTGTTCTCCCAAACTGCAGGCAAAGTTATCAGCTTCTGGTGATGAGGCCTGGAAAGAAAGGGAAGCTGCTGTTTTGACCCTTGGGGCTATTGCTGAAGGCTGCTTTAATGGTCTTTACCCTCTCTTGTCCGAGGCAAGTTCGTTTTTGATCTAATTCTCATATATATGGTTTTTCTCCGCCCAGTTCAAGTACATCAATATGCTACTGCCTTCTGCAGATCGTAGCGTTCCTTCTTCCGCTTTTAGATGATAAATTCCCTCTCATAAGAAGCATATCTTGCTGGACGCTTTCTCGATTTGGAAAGTATCTTATCCAGGTATGATTTGAACAGGAGATTTCGTGCTTCAACGGCTTCAAACGGTCTTAAGATGACTCACTGCTTTTCTTTTCTAGGAAATTGTCAATCCAAAGGGTTATGAACAGTTTGAAAAAGTTCTTATGGGTCTTCTCCGCAGACTCTTGGATTCAAACAAGCGTGTCCAGGAGGCGGCCTGTTCAGCTTTTGCAACTGTTGAAGAGGTACCATGTAATTTAAATGCCATACCTAGGAGTAATTGATATGTTGATATTGGTTTACCATATGTATATTTATTCTCTGACCATATAGGATGCTGCTGAAGAGTTAGTGCCACACCTGGGAGTAATACTGCAGCATCTAATGTGCGCCTTTGGAAAATATCAGGTCATTAAATCCTTTGACATGATAAATATCTGTGGCGGCTATTATCTAGTTCAAACATATGTGTCCATACGTCTACGTTACACACAGTTTTCATATCACAGAGGCACAACTTAAGAATTGTTTATGATGCTCTTGGAACACTGGCCGATTCGGTTAGAGAAGAGTTGAACAAGGTATAACGATTGAATTTGTCTACTGTTAAGTTGTCTACTGCTAGTATAAATTTTCATGCGTACTTTATATTCTTCCTTCTGCAGCCGGCTTATCTTGAAATTCTGATGCCTCCGCTGGTAGCAAAGTGGCAACAACTTTCAAACTCAGATAGAGATCTATTTCCATTGCTGGAATGCTTCACGTCTATTTCTCAGGTATGGTCGTGAATCTGTGTCACCAATGAAACTATGTTCATTTAGTTAAGCCTAAAGTTTCGCAATAGTGAACGTCAGATAATTTCATCTTGACAAGAATGTTAGACTGGTTGCATCATGAACCGTATGTCTAACAAATTGTGTTTCCATCTTCCAGGCTTTAGGTGTAGGGTTCGCTCCATTTGCTCAGCCTGTTTTCCAGAGATGCATGGATATCATCCAACTCCAACACCTGGCGAAGGTTCCATTCAAAATTTTGAAATTTCATCTCATTGGACTATTGTAGAATGGAGAATCAGAACAACCTTTTTCCAGTTTTCCTTACTTAATTTATTGCCTTAGCTAGATAGGCGTCATAGGGTTGAGTATAGTAACAAGTTCTTCATATTTCACTGGGGCATATACATTACTATTGCTTGTATTTTTGATTGATGAAAGCTTGCTTGTGGTGTTTGAAGGTTGACCCTGCTTCTGCTGGGGCTCAGTACGACAGAGAATTCATTGTTTGTTCCCTTGATTTGCTTTCTGGACTTGCTGAAGGGCTTGGCAGTGGGATAGAGTCTCTGGTACTGCCTTTTCTCACTCAGTGAACAACTCTTTTAGCTGCCGCTCGACGTTGTTGGTATACTATAACAGATATGTCAACCGGATAAATTCTTAATCCATCGCCTCTGTTGCAGGTTTCACCAAGTAATCTCAGGGATCTGCTACTCAAATGTTGCATGGATGAAGCTTCTGATGTCAGACAAAGTGCTTTTGCTCTTATGGGGGATCTTGCAAGAGTAAGCTGCATATTCTTTTGTACTTTAAACAGTTCCCTGATAATATTAAAATATAATTTCAACGCCTTTCTGCTATATAGATTAGTATTATAAACTTATAATGACGTTTGGCTACCACTGACAGGTATACCCGGCCTACCTACAACCCCGCATGGCTGAGTTCCTTGAAATTGCAAGCCAGCAACTGGTTGGTATCCAAGTTTCACTCCGGCTATGCCAAATTCTATTCTTCTTTATTATTGATCATATCTATCTATGGTTTTGTACAGAGTGCAAACCTCATCAGAGAAAACCTTTCTGTCGCCAATAATGCTTGTTGGTTCATTGGAGAATTAGCGATCAAGGTATTGCTACCGAAGCTTGAATTTTTTGGGTCACAGCAGACCTGTGAATGATATGAATTCAATGTTTCAGGTTCGCCAAGAAGTCTCACCATTTGTGACCAACGTTGTCTCTTCCCTAAGCCGGATTCTTCAGCATGGAGAGGTCACTCCAGCATCCTACAAAATCAAGAGCCTCTTGTCCATTTCTGAGTCTATCGATTGTTGTAGCTGGCGACTCTTAACTAATTTTTTTTTCTTGTGAAACAGGCTGTGAATAAGTCTCTAGTGGAAAACAGTGCAATGACCCTTGGGAGACTAGCATGGATCCGTCCAGACCTTGTCGCACCTCACATGGAGCACTTCATGAAGCCGTGGTGCTTGGCCTTGTCAATGTTAGTGAACCTTTAGTGTTGGAAACTTGGAATAAACATTATGAACACAAAACCTAGGCAAATTTGTAGTCTTTAAACTCCAAACCTCTCTGCTCCTTGAAACAAGTTTCTGTTATAATTTCTTTTCTGTAGGATACGAGATGACATTGAGAAAGAAGATGCATTTAGAGGGTTATGTGCAGTGGTATTTCTCTCTACTTTTTTGGTTTGTGTTTGAAACATGCAAGTTAAGTTTGATACTTACAGAGTGTTCTCCATAAATTCAGGTTAAAGTGAATCCCTCAGGAGGTGTCAGCTCACTTGTTTTCATATGCAAAGCCATTGCAAGCTGGCATGTAAGTGAAAAGAAAACCAAATGCGACTCTCTCGTTGCTAAATTCAATCTTGTTACCGACCTCCTTTGGAGCTTTTTATCACAGGAAATAAGAAGCGAGGACGTCAATAATGAAGTCTCTCAAGTTCTGAACGGCTATAAACAGGTAAGCTGTACTGAATTTAAGTTCAGCTTTTAATCATCACAAGCACTCGGCTCGCTCTTAATATGATTCCAAGTGTGTTTAATGTCTTTAAATTTTTTTGGTTCAGTTGCTGGGAAACTCATGGGCGGAATGTTTGTCTGCTTTGGATCCTCCTGTAAAAGAAAGGCTTACGAGATATATTTGATTGTACACCGCTTAGTCTCTCAAAATCAAAGAGATTTGCTTTATCTTATTCGTTGCAAACATTAAATCGATTTCACAGTTTGCGCAGAAGACGCGTTGTGAACATTTTTATTTGCCTGACCTAATGAAGGGTAAAAGTCACAAGAGAAAGAGAGAAACAGTACAAAGTTTGGGTCTCTGGGGCTCTTAAGATATCTTTTACGTCCTGTTTTTTTTTTTATTTCTTTCTATTTCTACATCAATTATGAGTCCTTTATCTTTAACGGGCAACGTAGTATGGTGGTTGGTTTGAGAAGTTTTGGTTAAGATTTCTCAACGGAAAGAGGAGATTCATTGTACTTCCAACTTGTGTAGACTATTATTGGACCTGTGGATACCAATAAGAAACACCAATGTCATCTGGATTTTGTGTATTTTTCTTCTGCCATTTCCGCTTTGACTTTGGTTTACTGATCCACTTGTGTTAAATATTAACTACAACTGTTCCCATTTGCATTTTGCATATCTCCCAGTAGAATATAATCTATCCCAATAGTTTAGGTTCCCGTAAGTAGTTATAAACATAAAATCAATCTCTTATAGTAAGCAGCTAGCTATCTCTCCGGTATTGTCTCGCGATAAGTCCCGACCACAATCATAAGCATAAGATATTGTATCTATATGAGTGTCTGATATACATTCAGCTATACTTAGTGATATTTCTCGCTAATTCCTAGTTACTTTTGTTTTCAGGTGACAAGTTTTGTTAAACCATCTCCAATAGTTTACACTACTTTTTACTCTAAAATAGAGTCACCTTATAATAGAGTTGGAGTACTCTATTTTAGAGTGAAAAATAGAATGATAAAACAAAAAAATAAGGTATTTTATATTTGGGTTAAACCTATTTTTCACTCTATTATAGAGTGAAATATAAAGTACTATTGGAGTATTTTTACTCTATAACTTTATTTTATAGTGAAAAATAGAGTGGGGTTGGAGATGTCCTTACTGTAGGCACTTCTAGTTTTCAGACGTGTGATAGACTCTAGATATCTCTCACACTGTAAATGTAATACTCTCTTATTATCAATACGAACAAGAACAACATTTATAGTTTTGAAGTACAATCTTAGCATCACTCTCATGGCGAGCTACACTAAGATCACGAGTCTCATGGCAACTGAGAAGTCCAGACTCATAGCGTCTAAGAACATACAACAATCAAAGCATAAACTCCATAAAAGCTTCGACTCTTCCTTTTATACGTCTTGAATCAGTAACTGCAAAGACTCTTCTCCAAACCGAAGCTTTACTCTAGTCATTTAGTCAGCCAGCTCAGCCTCCATGCCATCCGTTTTGGTTTATTCATTTTAAGTTATTTATCAATACTCCACCATTTGAAAACAAGCTTGCCCACAAGCTTGTATAGAAAGAAACCACTGAGCACACAAGTTTCCTTTATCCTGCTGAAACTCTAATACTTCACCACTGGTCAAGTTGAACAAATGAATCTTCCCTTTATACTTGAACATCCGAGACTTGTAAAACTTTCTCCATTTCTGTGTTTGTTGTTTTAGAACTGCGACCACTCTGTTTTGTAGATGTTTGCCAATTTGTAATAGCATCATCACTGTCTTCTCCCATTCATACTGTTTATACTTGAACCTCCAATCTTTGTAACTTTTCCTCCATTTCTACTTTCGATGTATTTGAACTTGTAGCCGATTTCCTTTGTGTTGCATCACTAGCATGAATATCATCATCTCTTCTTCATGTTTAAAACAGACCCCACAAGGTCTATTTATAATCACTGTGCAATCCGTTCCATCTCTCCACTGCTGAAACACACCTTGTAGTAAACACTGTGCAACCAATTCTATCTCTTCCAACTTTTTTCTAACATGTTTCCCATGAATATCAAACTCACTTGCTGTTAAAAACAACCAAATCAACATATACACCATCAACAAGCAAGTAAAGATTTGCTTGTATACTCCATCCCTCGAAATCAAGCTTGCCCATAAGCTTGAACAGAAGAAACTGATAAGGGATATCTGCCACTCATGTCTTGTATCTGCCACAGCCATTGTGAAATCAGAGCAAACCCACACTTTTATTGACGAGAAACCATGTCCACAAACTCCAACGTGAGAAGAAGCATAGGCAATGTGAATAATTTGAGTCAAACACAACCACTGACACATCACCTGTGTGAAATCCCTCGATATCATTATTTCCCTGTCAAAAAAGACATTTGAACAAGTCTCTGCAACCACCTGTTCCAAACTTAGCTGCTTGAATCTCCATTTATGCTTCACTTGGAACTTTCCATCAACAGTTAGGACCTGTAACAATGCTTGTAAGACTCTCAACCACAATTTATGTATCTTAGACTGAGTCATAGTTAGAATGACACACTAAGATATTTCTGCAACCTCCTTGTTCTCATGTTGACTTAGTATCCTGCGCCAAGATCTCACCCCTTCATTTACTAGCAAAACACATGACAATTTACAACACTGCACCAGCTGTATAACTTTTACTGTTGCAGGTCGCAACCAGTCTCCATTGTCCAACCCTAATGATATCAAAGGACACCACACGATGCTCTGGTTCGTGTGATCATTTTGTACCACTATAACTTGACCAACAGCCCAAGAACTGAGAGTTAGAGTGATAATCAAGGTGTTAAATTTGTACTTAAACCGCCAGTTCTTGTATTGCTTTCTTTTTATTGAAGTTGTAGTTCCACATTTTATACCCAACCAGCAAAAACACAGAAACAACCTGCCACCAACATACTAACTTCTGCTCCCCAACCAAATCAAACAAACAATCTAACTGAGATCTCTGAAACCTTTGCAATGTAACTCCACCCAATTCTAGCAACCAATGGAGATTATTGTGATCAACTTTTGCCTTCACTCTCTCTTTAAATCTCCATTTGTGCTTTACAATACCAGCTGCTGCCACACCATCATCAGCAATGACAAGTGAATAACTGAAGAAAATAATTGTGTTCCCAATGAGATTGTGTAGCTCCTCCATCACAGTTATAAATTTGGTAACAGTTTCTCCTTCTTAATACATCAACAAGATCTGGTTGTTGTGATCATTACTGGCCAAAGTAATAGAGCCTACTTTCCAAAAACTCAGAAACACCTTAATGGAAAACAACAGCTTCTCATACCATCTGTGATACTCCGTACCACTGAAAATTCCTCCAAACTTGAACTCTGATACTGCTTTTAAGGTCATCCATCTTCAAAACAGTAACCACAAAAAATCTCTGGTTTTAAACTTAAATTTCCAGGTTTTGACACTCTTCTGCTGCTCCTTCTTACAAATCCCTTGTCTGAACATGTGATCAACTAGTGGTTGGACACAAGAGATTTGAACATTCTGCTGCAACATCTTATGCTCCTGCATTGAATCATTGTTCCGTTGTGTCTTTCGTATCCAATACATTTGCCTCTTGTTCTTCAGCAAGACAGTCATCAAGAACCTCTTTTATAGTTGGTGATGTTGTCTTCCCCACAGCTTCATTGCTACAAGAAGATTCATCGTGTACTTTCACAGCTAACAACCTGGAACATGACCAAATCGCTCCACCAAATGGTACTTGAAGGCAGCCCAATTGTGGGAGTCGATTTCACCCTACTGTCAAATAAATCGTAAATAAGGAAACTTCGGGAAAACCCTAAGTTTCCAGAGGAACCGGCTATCTGCGAGAACCGCACAACAAAGATTAAGATGACTAAAACACTTAGAATAAAAACGAAAATAAGAGAGGTTTGAAAGCAAGAAGGTTCTTATTCCGAATCTGCGTTGAAC